TTAAAAAACAATAACAACAACAACTTTGTAGACTCTTTTTTTTTTTTAAGATTTTATTTATTTATTTGAAACAGAGAGAGAGAGAGATCACAAGTAGGCAGAGAGGCAGGCATAGAGAGAGAGGGAAGCAGGCTCCCCGCTGAGCAGAGAGCCCGATGCGGGCCTCGATCCCAGGACCCCGAGATCACGACCCGAGCCGAAGGCAGAGGCTCAACCCACTGAGCCACCCAGGCGCCCAACTTTGTAGACTCTTATGGAGACTTTAGCTTTTACTCTGAGTGAGATGAGAAGTCATTGGAAATTTCAAGCAGAGGAATGACAAGGTATGTCTTAAACTACCATAGGACGTTCTGGCTGTTGTGTTGAAAAGGGAAAATGGGGGAAGTAGGGAGACTGATGGTTGTGACAGTTATGAGGCTTTAGTGTATTGATATATTGGTTCCAATTCTGCACTCCTTTTAATATAATTAAATCTAGAGGCAGGGGAGGCATATCTTGAAAGAAATTATAGGTTCAGCTTTTGGGGGCTTCTGAAGTTGATTAGAGTCAAACACAAAAAACTTGCAAAAAGTTTTTAAGAAAAGTCTACTGGCAAAAGTATTTCCAACAACTAAAGGAGATAACGATGTGCAAGATGTGAACAGAAATTTGGGCTCTCAATTTTCTACAAGCAGGAATCAGGTTCAGAAATTCACTTATTGGGGTGCCTGGGTGGCTCAGTGGGTTAAAGCCTCTGCTTTTGGCTCAGGTCATGATCCCAGGGTCCTGGGATCGAGCCCCACATTGGGCTCTCTGCTCAGCAGGGAGCCTGCTTCCTCCTCTCTCTCTGCCTGCTTCTCTGCCTATTTGTGATCTCTGTCTGTCAAATAAATAAATAAAATCTTAGGAGAAAAAAAAAAAGAAAAGAAATTCACTTATCCACCAAGAAAGACGTATTTGCCAATGCCCTTTACCAGTGACTAAGGAAGATGATGGGAAAAGGATAATTTTCTAGACTAAAGAACCAAGAGTTATGGTGAATAGACTGGAAAGTTATTCTTGAAGAGGAGAACCTGTGCTTAATCATGGACCATTATCCCCTTTTCCCAAATATAGGAACCTGACAATCTTCACTCAATGGGATTTCATAATTGTTATGGACCAGTGACTCCTCTTCGCTCCCATTGTTTTATTTTTATTTATTTTTTTTCCATTGTTTTATTTTTTGACTAAGAGTATTTTTTTGTGGTTGTATTGTCTCTGCCCATCATTTGTTGCATGCTGGGTGTATGAGAAGAAGAAACTTGCTTTTTTTTTTTTTTTTTTTTTTTGTCAGAGAGAGTGAGCACAGGCAGACAGAGTGGCAGGCAGAAGCAGAGGGAGAAGCAGGCTTCCTGCTGAGCAAGGACCCCGATGTGGGACTCGATTCCAGGACGCCGGGATCATGACCTGAGCCGAAGGCAGCTGCTTAACGAACTGAGCCACTCAGGCATCCCAGAAACTTGCTTTTTTAATCCATAGGCTCAAGAACAGGCATATTTGGACCTGATATAGATCCAGAATTTCAAGAATTTGTTGGCTCTTTTAGAGGTCTTGGGAATAGGAGTGAATTATTTTGTGTATATTTGACAAGGATGTGAATAGTTATAACCAAGAGAGCAGACTGTGGTAGATTAAATTATTGGTTCTTCACAGTTCTTCATTACCCTGTAGTGGTGTTATGGATATATGAGGACTTTGCTACGGTTGCGTGGTGAGCAGTGTATTTTCTCACCTCTTGACTTTGGGCTTGGTCAAGTGGTTTTCTTTGGTCAGTGGGATGTCAGGGGAAGTAATATGGGCAAAAGCTTGAACTATTCTATGTTGGCTTTTCCTGCTTGGGCTTCTGTGACTGCCACAAGAAGAGCATGCCTTTGGTAGCATTTTTAGTATGGGCTCTGAATAGGACACATGAAGCAGAGGTCCTGCACTTGACTCCTGTTCTTACAGCCTGAAGCAAACCTTCCCCAATCAACCCATGAACCTTCAGCATACAGCCGATCTGAACCTAATCTCCAGCCTACCTTCAGCCTACCTCAACTAATGATCCACAGACTCATGAGAAAAAAATAATTGTTTTAAATCTCTGACTTTGGGATGGGTTATGAGGCGTTAATGTGGTAATGACTGAGCACTAAGGAGGTAATTGCAATGATTCATGAGAGAGAAGGAGAGGATGGGAACTAGGACGAGGGTGGTCACAGTAGAAGTAGTCAGATTCTAGATGTATTTATACATAGAACCCACAGGTTTAGCTGATTATAAATAGAGTGTGAAAGAAAGAGAGACATTGAGGATGAAGTCTAGGCTCTTGACTTGAGCAAACAGGAGAATGGAATGGTCATTTTCTGGGATGGAAAAAACAGAGGGACTTGAAGACTTGGCATAATATTAAGAGAGATTGTCAGGAGCAGTAACATGGTATTGGCTGTGTTAAGTTTGAGTTGCCTCTAGACATCTATAGGGATGCTAAGCTGGCCATTGAATATACAAGTCTGGAGTTGGAGAAAGTGTATACAGGTATACAGTGTATACAGGTGCACATCTGAGAGTAGCTAGTCTGTAGATGGCTTCTAAAGCCATGAGACTGGGTAAGATCAGTAAGTGTGATCACTTGAAAAGGGGGCCAGTGACTGAGCCTGGGGACACTTTAGAGTTTCATGGTTGGGGAGTTGAAGTTACCAGCGAAGGAATTTGAGAAGGATCAAGCAGAGAGATAAGAGGAAAACCAGTTAAATGATAGTAAAGTGTTATTAATATGTGTTGTTATATGACATCTATTCTTCCCTACTCTCTTCTCTTTTCTTCCTTCTTCTTCCTTCACCAAAAATGTCACCACCACTAGATTTGTGTATGTGTGTGTGGATATGTGTGGAAAGCACAGTGTTAATCACTTTATATATAGAACAGAATTATTAAAACGTTAACAGGTATATATTTTTCTTTTTTTCTTGCTATATACTCGCTAGGGGGAAAATCAAATCTCCTTTTTTTCTTCTGGATTTCTTTCCAGGATGGAGAAGCTAAGTCTTTGTATTAATTCTGGGACCCCTTCATAATCCTGCAAGCAGGATGGCTTTGAAGAGCAAGTAGATTGGAGGCTGATGCTTTGAAAGGAATAGGGGAATGAGCAGCTGGGATGCTGGAGGAAGGTTGATTAATTTTTTTCTCCTTAAGCCTGGGAGGCAGAGGGCTGGGGGTTCGGCTAGGAGGAAGAGGTCCAATGGGCATTAGAGACTTGTGTTTAGCTAGCATGCAGCTCCCTAGTGGCAGTCAGACCTTGGAAGGGGGGATGGGTCTCCGGAGGTGAGTGGAGATTGGAGATTGAATGCCACAACCTTGAAATTGTTTTCACAAGTCATCTGATTTGAGTGGAGAAGATCACTTGGGTGAACTTCTGTTGTACAGCCTGATAAGGGCTCAGGGATGGTGGTGGGGGGAAATGGGGCACCTGAAATAAAAGTGTTTTGCAGAAAGAGAATGTCTGAGCTTGAGACAAGGATCTAAGTGTTGGCAGGTGTACTCTTGTTACGCATAACATGGGGCTGGTTTTAGAAGCTCCTCAAGCCAGAGCCAGACATTTTACTGAGCTTTGGGGAACAATGGCTGTGTGACTGTGAACTTAGAGAGGTGTCGTCCTAGAGCCAAAGCTTGGGACACCCAGTGTGTGCAGACAGGAGTCTGAACCAGCCAGGACGTTACCATGTATCGCTCATTGCTGTAGAAGGTAACAGCATTGGTTAAACAAGACTCCACCTCCTCTGTTTTGTTTTGGGAAGAGAACTGCATCTTCTGGTCTAAGTCATGAACCTCACGGTGTCTTAAGATATTCAAGGATGAGAAGGTCTAAAAAAGGAGAGACTAAACTTTCTAAAAGGGGCTTGAATGATTCACTGGAAAAAAAAAAAGACATAAGGCCTCTGAGTTTATGACACAGGTATTTACTATTCATGCTTTGGGGAAAACTTGGGAAGTTCTAGTATTTATGGGAGAGTATTTATGATGTTATGATGGCTTCTGTTTCTTTTTTTTTTCCCAAATATGTATTTGTCTTATTCTGTGTGGTTCTGGAGAGCAAGATAATAAAAAAGTTTTAGCGGCATGGGTGTAGGAACAGATATTCCCTACCAAATCCCAGCACATGTTTTGGGCTCAATACGTTTTTCAGTAAATGACTCCATGCCTGCCTGCATGACAAATGAAAACATATGGATGAAACTTACAGGGAGACAGATTTTGGATTCAGCTTATCTTTTTAATAATTTGAGTTATTCATAAATTAAATGGACTATGTGGGAAAGGCAATAAAATTCTCTATTACTGGGAGTGAAACAGGAGCAGAAAGACCATTTTTCAGGGAGGTGATAGAGGATTTATTTGTTAGATAATGGTTAGACCACATAAGCACTGAGAGTCCTAAAAACTCAGATATGCCAGTTCTAAAACTTTAAATCCAGGGGTCTTCATACAGAATCTTGGGAGAAGTATAAATAAGACTCATGAACTCAGAGAAATCTTTAAGAGGCATGTGTTCAATGGCATGTTTATTAAACAAATGCTCATGACAGATTTTCACAACAGCAACAAATGTTATTTCACTACATCGAATCTCCCTTACTAAGAAAAAAAACAACAATCACAGCGAGGTTGATGGATCTGGATGTTTTTTTCATGTTTTTTTCTGGGGAGCGGGGGAGTAAAACCAGTCTTCTCACTCGTTTTCTTCTCTTTTCCCTTCTTGAGCCTTACCCGATTTCATTTTCTTCACCTCCTCTCTGGCTAAGTATCCCCGGAAGGCTGCTTGGATTTTGAGAGCAGCGTTCTCTCTTTCTTCTTCAGAAGTTTCCTTCATGGAAAGGAGAAAAAGTAAGAGACTTCTTAAATATCCAGTATTTTTTTTTAAATTAACATACAATGTATTATTAGTCCCAGGGGTCCAGGTCTGTGAATCGCCAGGTTTATACACTTCACAGCACTCACCATAGCACATACCCTCCCCAATGTCCATAATTAAATATCCAATATTTTGATGCCATAAAAATAAGTGCAAAAATGTAATCAATATAGGGATGTAACAGTCGAGATCTGTTGCTTCCTAAGGGAATTTTATATACTGTCATGTTGTGTATGTTCCAAACGGTGAGTGCCAAAATAGCAGGAATTTTGTTTTCTCATTCTTTAATATGCCTCTGCAATAAATGATCAGTGCCAACTTCCCCCCTCAAAATAGCTCCTATTTAACAGTTTCCTAAGTAATGACATTTTTTTTGGGAAAATAAGTAAGAATCCTTGAAGCAGGGTAAAAACGTCAAGAATAGTAAATGTGCTGTTTCAAAATAATGATTACATGAAATTAATTTCTTAATTTTTCAATGATTAGCTAATCAGAATCATACATGTAAAGTGGACTGCCAAAGAAATCCTTTTAGTCCAATAATGTCAGTTTTAAGGTGGTTGGCTGAACATCTTCATATAGTTTTTGTTTTTGTTTTGTTTTTTTAAAATTTAGGTATGGGGTGCCTGGGTTGCTCAGTCCCTTGAGCACATGGCTCTTGATTTTGGTTCAGGTCCTGATTTCAAGGTCCTGGGATCAAGCCCTGTATTGGGCGTCATGCTCATCAAGGAGTCTGCCTGTCTCTGTCTTTCTCTGTCTCCCTGCTCTCTCCTCTCAAATAAACAAATAAATAAACAAAACCTTTCAAAAAAAATAAAATTTAGGTATTATTTACCTACATTATAATAAGTGAGACACACAGATCTTAAGTGTCTAATTCAAAAGATATATAGTTTTTTAAAAATTATTTATTTATTTATTTATTTATTTGTCAGAGAGAGAGAGTACACAAGCAGGGGTTTGGGGGCAGCAGGCAGAGGCAGAGGGAGAAGCAGGCTTCCCATGGAGCAAGGAGCCCCATGTGGGAATCAATCCCAGGGCCCCAGGATCATGACCCAAGCCAAAGGCAGATGCTTAACCGACTGAGCCACCTAGGTGTCCGATATTTAGTAGTTGTTGTTGTTTTTTTTAAGATTTTATTTATTTGGCAGACAGAGATCACAAGTAGGTAGAGCAGCAGGCAGAGATAGAAGGAGAAGCAGGCTCTATGCTGAGTAGAGAGCCCAATGCAGGGCTCGATCCCAGGACCCTGGGATCATGACCTGAGCCGAAGGCAGAGGCTTTAACCCACTGAGCCACCCAGGCGCCCCTGATACATAGTTTTTAATATATAGTTTTAAATTATAACAGTGATACATATACACTTAAAAATTTAAACATCAGGGAGCCTGGGTAGCTCAGTAGGTTAAGCGTCTGCCTTCTGCTCAGGTCATGATCCCAGAGTCCTGGGATTGAGCCCCATGTCTGGCTCTCTGCTCCGCAGGAGACTGTTTCTCCCTCTCCTTGCCACTCCCCCTGCTTGTACTCTCTCTCTCTGTGTCAAATAAATAAACAAAATCTTAAGAAATAAATAAATACTTAAATGTCACTCATAGTGGAAGTTTTCTCCCCCTTTCCAAATCTACTCCTAAGATGTAACCATTACTATGGGTTGAGTATATACAACTTTCCAAAATTTCTCTATATAAAAAGTATTCATATGGGTATATACATGGCTTTTTATTTTAAAAATGAGATCATACTAATTACAGTGTTCCCAATTACTTTTTCCTCATAACTATATATCTTGGTTCTCTTCTCTTTATTATTATTCAGTAGGTAACTGCCCATTCTTCTTCTTTTTTAATGACACCATGTATTACATGTACTAAGCAACTTGATTTATTTACTCAGTCTCCTGTTGATGGACCTTCAGGTTGTTTACACCCCTCACCCCATTAAAAAAACAATGAGGCAAATGTAGATCTCAAACTTCTGAATGCAAACAGAATGGTATTAAATCCTTTGAGATGATGCCCCAGTACGAGCAAATGAATTATAATGAAGCTGGAAATCAATAGGATCTCAATTCAAAGTCATGAAATGCTGATTAAGGGCAACTACTAAAGATATAAGGAAATGACTCCCTTTCTTCCCTGACCTCCCATTGCATCTTATGGCAATGTTAGGCCGATTGGGTTGTGTTGATATAATTCTGGAATAATTTATAAAGGTTATAGGTAAAAGTTAAGCCTCCAGCTGGGGAGGAGGTAAGGTATTCCTTGAAGAGGATGCCTACTTTGGGTGTCAGTTAATGGGTGACTAATGGGGACATTAGAACATGAAAAGGAACTCAGAAGTTTGGCCTTCAGCACTGTAGAGAGTGAGTTCTTTCTCACTAGGTTTGGTCGTCTTGAGTCTGGACTATGAAGAGTATAGATAGTGATATGCTGGTAAATGCTTAGATATAGAGTCTCCAGAAAAAATGTCTGATTTGCAGTATTGGCCATGATCTTCATACTCCTACCATGGCTGATTTCAAGCTACCAAGCAGACATTGCTGATCATGGGTTGTATAGAGATGTGCACAGTTGTCTCTTGAGAGCTGGATGTAGCACACTCCTGGGCATAGGTGTCTTTGAAGGTGGGCCCTACTTAAGTCTTTATTGCTTAGAGGCAGGCTGCTTATCAGGAAGTCATTTTGTAGACAACAGTGCATGGAAGGTGAATAAGACACATTGTGTAAAGCCATTCTGTTTGGTGGTATGTGATTCTCTGGGTTTCCTTTTGTTATCTCTGAACCTTTGTCACTGTGTGGTGGTGAGAGCATCAATTAGTGAAAAATTTTCAATGTGGAAAGTGAATCTAAAGGATTAAGAGTGAGGCAGTGAGTTCTGTCTGTTTTTCCCTTTGGGGAGATTTCCCCATTCATTGACATTCTTGGAAAAAAAAAAGATTTAATTTTAAGGGGAAGAAGGAGTTTTCCTTTACGATAGGCATAGCTAAAAATGATCTACCAGTTAGTTTATCACTGATGCCAGTTATCTAGAAAGCAAAATCATAATTTTAGCAATATGGGTAACAGACTGGATTCCTATTTGGAGTATAATTTTAAATTGAGTGATATGATTCTTTGTAGGAATCTAATAGTATATGGAAAACATAACTTACTAAGGCTTTGACTGGTGTCTCATCCTCTTTCACAGATGTGCTAGACTTTTCTTTTTCAGACTCACAACTCTCAGGTGATTCATGCTCCTGGAAGAGGGGTGACAGGGCCAAAGAGTCAATCCAAAATAGTAAAGTCTTGGGTCAAACCTCTTAAAGTCATTAAATACTGCTGTATGTTATTGAGAAGTAGTAGGAATTAAATACATACTGATTTTTTATTTTTTATTTTTTTTAAAGATTTTATTTATTTATTTGACAGAGAGAGATCACAAGTAGACAGAGAGGCAGGCAGAGAGAGGGAGGGAAGCAGGCTCCCTGCCAAGCAGAGAGCCCGATGCGGGACTCGATCCCAGGACCCTGAGATCATGACCCGAGCCGAAGGCAGCGGCTTAACCCACTGAGCCACCCAGGCGCCCCCATACTGATTTTTTAAAAAAGGAAAGTAGGTTGGAAAAAAAGAGAAATACATGAAAATTTTCAAAGGAATATGCATAAACAAATGTGACCAATTGGTGGATTGGTGAATCGGTGAAAATGCAGATTTTTTTGCTTTTGGAATGTGTGTAACACTATTTCATATGAAAAACAAGTTATTGTCTTATACTAAAAGGTGTTAAGATGCTGTAATGAATCTTGAACAAAGTATAAAAAAGAAGTGCTGTTAGTTTTTAAAAATAAGAGCAAAATATATGCTACTATGTCCCATAGTGTGAGTCAAGTTTTGATGGTGTTCCCCAGTAGATTTGGGGAATTTGGGGAAAGTCAAGTTGACTTTTTAATGGAGTCTGTAGATTCAAAACCATGTCAAAGAGTTAAGTTCTGCTTGGGGAACCATTTAAGTAAAAAAAGGGAAATCAGCTCTGCCTATTTTGACATGGTTGTTGAAATTTTCCACCAAAATATAGAGGCGTTGCTAATTCACAGCCTATGGGAAGAGTTTCTTTAATCTATAAAACAGAAATTTGAAGACATATAAGCTAATTAGTAAAGTCTTTAGAATTCAAAAGAGATGAAAAAAACACCTTGAAATTGCTATGTGACACAAAGATTTAAAACTTTCTGACATTATTCCTTTGATTGAAATAAAACATGAACACAGAGAATCTTGTTAAATGACTAGATGGAAACAAACTCAACACCCCCATATCTGGCAGGCACAAATGGATGGAACTTTACTTTTGAACTCACGGAATTTAAGTGACAGGTATTTCCCCAGGAAATTCCCCAAATCTACTGGGGAACACCATCAAAACTTGAACTTGGCTAATTCCCTTTAATTCTAATATCTGATGGTGCTTTGTGGCTAACGTAATATCTCAGTTGTCTAGAAGAGTGCTTCTCAGACTTGAATGTACCTACAAATTACTTTGGGGGAGCTTGTTAAAGTTCAGCTTCCAACTTGCAGATCTGGAGTAGGGCCTGAGACAAAATTTCCATCAAGTTCCCAGTTAGTTGATGTCAGTGATGCAGGGATGCACACAGCTTTTCTCAACCAGTGTTCCTCTTCTGGACCACAGAACACAGAAAGTTTTGAGTGACTTGTCTCATAATTCTCTCAAGGACGGTATATAATTAAAGCCATTCAAGGAAAAAAGGAGGGACACCAATTTCTTACATGCAATCAGTGCCTTTGGCTTAGGCAAAATAATATTATTTTATTTTATTTTTAAAAGATTTTATTCATTTATTTGACAGAGAGACACAGCAAGAGAGGGAACACAAACAGGGGGGAGTGGGAGAGGGAGAAGCAGGCTTCCCGCTGAGCAGGGAGCCTGATGCAGGGCAGGGAGCCCGATGTGGGGCAGGGAGCCCTATGCGGGGCTCCATCAAAGGACCCTGGGATCATGACCTGAACCACCCAGGCACCCTAGGGCTTAATTATTTTGAGGAACCTTGGCTGAAAAAGGCTGATTCTGAGAATGCTGCTAAAGAGAAGGTATGTTCAGTCTCTGAACAGATTAGCTTTATAGAAAAAACTCTCCCATTATGAATTTAAATTCTAATCAGTCTTTTGTAAGATGTCAATGATGATGAAACAACTGGATGGATGGTGTTTTATGAAATGCCATTCATGAATTCAACAAAAGTTTATTGAAGATCTGCTATTGCTAAGCATTGTGATACCCAATACAATTTGAAGAATAAATGAGTAATTATTCTGTAACTTTCAAGTTCATTCTTCCTGTTGATCACCTTTCCATTTCAGCTAAGTATCTGTCCATGATTCAAATAATTTAGAAAAAAATTTCTCATCAGAAAGAACAGCACAATTAAAAAGGTTTAATAAGATATTTGTTTGCCTTTCATGATGTTCATGATTCTGGGAAGACTGCAATATTCTCTGTTTTGGTGGCAGGGAGAAGAAGATAACCAAATCCATGAGTTTCCTGGGTCCATACCTTGAAAGCATGGTTGTTATAGAAGCGGTCATCTACCTTAGTCCCCCATTCTGCTGGGTCAAAGTTGGTTTCTAAATAACAAAAATATTATAATTTCAGACTTATTTTGAGTTCATTAAAGTAAATCCAGAATAGTAACACAAAACAAGTTTTCTTTTTCAAACCACAGGTTCTTTACTGCCAGTTGAAAATATTATTATGTATATAACCTAACATTGTAAACATAACCAGTGATCACAGAATATATGATGATGAATTAATAAACATTAGATGAGCCCTTGGGGATATTTAGAAAGGCAGTAAAAAAATATAATTTCTGCTTTATAGAATTTATAATATGGGAGAGAACAAATGCCAATACTTAAATACAAATACAGAAACTCATAAACATGTATCAGTAAACACAAGAAAATGTATAAAAATAAATGCTAAATAGCAAGGAAGTTTGGAAAAGTGAAGAATCGGAGAGGTTTTTAAAAAATGAAGCATATTATATAGTTAGTAGACATAGGCTGTATTTATATTCAAGCAGAATTTTCCTTTAACTTTTCGTTATAAACAATTTTAAACTTAGAAAGTAGAAAGAATAATATAGCAGAATCTCATGTGCACATTATTCACATTCAACAATTATAAACTCATCATTTATCTTATTTTATCTGTAATTTCACTCAATTTCCCTCTCTTTCGTCTGATTATTTTCAAGCCTGTTCCAGGCACCCTATTGTTTTATCTACAAATATTTATTTTAAAGCCACAATACTATTATCACATCTAAAAATACTAACAATAATGCCTTAATATCAGCTATCCAAATTTTCCCTATTGTCTAATATATTTTTGGCTTTTTTTTTTTTTACTGTTGATTTGTTCAAATCAAAACCCAAACAGTAGGCACACACAGTATTTTGTTATGCCTTTCCCATCTCTTAATTGAAAGAGATTGTCACCTATCTCTCAGCCCACATTTTTTCCCTGCAATGTTTTTGTTGAGGAAATTGAATCATTTTTCCTTTGGAGTTTTCCACAGTTTAGATATTTCTGATTCCACTCCCATGATGACTTTTAACAAGTTCCTTTGCTTTTGAATTTCCTGTAGCTGGTTCAGGATTTATTTATTTAGGTATTTATTTATTTATTTATTTGGCAAGCGTACTTTATAGATAGCATAGTGTAATTGTCAGGATATAATATCTGGTTGTATCTCTTTTTATAATCTTTAAAGGCCCATTGATGATGATTGCTTAGATCATTTCTTTAGGGGTTGCAAAATGGCAATGTTGTTATTTGATCATGACTTCTTTATTTCTGGAGTAATCAGTAAAGAAAAACTTACCCATAGCAACTATTTGGTTATCCTGACATACAGTTCATCCAGAAAAGGCATTTTAAAGTTTTGATTCTTTCCCCTTATCAACCAGTTTACAGAATAATCATTTGGTTCCTTAGGATCCTCTTAAGGAGGTTTTCTTTGTTTGTTTGTTTTGATCATTATGAACAAATGAATATTTAAGAAATTGGATCAACTTCAATCCCTTGCATTTATTCTTCTTCTTGATGCTCTAATTGTCCAGACTTGGCTGGTAGGAGCTCATTCAGGTGTTCAGATGCTCCGGAGTGCTTTGGAAACAACTCTAGCAATCTTTGACAGTTTCCTTCTTTTCTGGGACTAGATGTTCAGGCTCAACCTGCATATTTCCTCCCCAATTCACAGAATTAGGTAGTTCTCTAAGAAACCTTGGTTCCTGGGAAATGGTAGCTAGAGGCCACAGTCTAGAAGCTAAGTGCTCACCAGTACTGGGTTAATGATTGTTTTGTGGCCTTTTAAAAAATGCATACAGTTAGAAAACATTTTTTCATTTTTACAGAGAAAACATGTCATTGAAGTCACACTGATATTTTTCTGTTCAAATTTAGGATTATTAACTTCCTTCATTTTTATATGTTTGTCATTTTTCTTATGGTAAAAATCTTAGTCCTAATAACAGTAGGATAGTGACTTATTTGCTATGTCCCACAGTGTATAAGAACTATAATTATACTATAATTTTAATTAAACTATGATATTATTAACAATGATTACTGAAAACAATTCAAGACTTCTAACTTCATTTTGTTTTTAGGCTATCTCCGCTGAGGGATGTATAGTCAAATTACTGTGTTATAAAGTCACTTGAAAAAAAAAAGAATTAATTCTTTTCTGTGTGGTTATATCTACCCAGTCAATACTAGCTAGGTTTGTTTGTTTCATTTTCCTAATGAACTTTAGAGAGTCAACAATTTTAAAAATTTATTTCCACTTTAAAGTATGTTAAACATTTATGATTTTCAGTTCAATATATATTCAGAGAATTCTAGTTTTTTTTTTTTTTTTCCTCAAGATTTATTTGACAGAGAGAGACCTAGTGAGGGAGGGAACACAAGCAGCGGGGGTAGGAGAGGGAGAAGCGGGCTTCCCGCAGAGCAAGGAGCATAATGTGGGGCTCCCGTTGAGCAGGGAGCCTGATAGTGGCTCAATCCCAGGACCCTGGGATCATGACCTGAGCTGAAGGCAGACGCTTAACTGACGGAGCTACGCAGGCGCCCCTAAACATACTTTTTCCTATGTTACTTTTTTCACCTAATGTATCCTGAAGATCACTCCATGGCAACATATAGAGATCGTCCTCACTCTGGTTTTGTTTGTTTTACAGTTGTATATAATGGATGTCCTCTAGTTTATACAACAAATCCCATATGATGGATATTTGGCTTGTTCCCTCAAAGAATGATGCCATGAAATGGGGAGAATTTGAATTTCTATGTCAAATTCTCTCCCTTGGTGTTATATCATTTTGTATCTCCTCCAGCAATGTATAGGACTGCCTATTTCTCCTCCAGCCTTGCCTGGAATAAATTGGCAAACTTTGGCTTTTTGCCAGTCTGATGGGAGTGGTCCCCACTGTAGTTTTGATTTTTGGCTTCTGTTGCTATGGGTTAGTTTTAGTATGTTCTCATATGTTAAGGGCCATTTGCATTTTGTGTGTTTGCTCATATCTCTAGACCATTGTTTTATATAAGGTTTATTAGTTTTTTCTTCAGTATTTTTAAAAATATTTTATTTATTTATTTGACAGAGAGAGGTCACAAGTAGGCAGAGAGGCAGGCAGAGAGAGAGGGAAGCAGGCTCCCCGCTGAGCAGAGAGCCCGATGAGAGGTTTGATCCCAGGACCCTGATATCATGACCTGAGCTGAAGGCAAAGCCTTTAACCCACTGAGCCACCCAGGTGCCCCTAGTTTTTTCTTCAGTATTTTTACAAACCTTTAATTATCAAGTTTATTAACCTGTTGTGATATAAATTACAAGGTTTCCTCAGTTTGTCATTTGTAGTTTCATTTTTCTCATGGTGATTTTGTCATGGAAAAGTTTACTTTTATGTAGTCAATCCTATTAGTCTTTTTCCCTAATTGCTTTTGAATTTTTAAGTAATTATTGATAGCAATTTAGCTAGCAATTTTTTTTCCTCTCTTATATTACAGAGAAATTCATCCATGTTTCCTTCTAGTATTTGTATGGTTTCATTAAAAAATAATTTAAATCTTCGGTCAATTTGGAATTTACCCTGGTGTATGTTGCAAGGAACAGATCTAATTTTATCTTTTTCCATCTTTATCTCAACATAGTCTACCTTATAAAAAGTCTACCTTCTCCCTAGTGATCTCAGATACCACTTATATCAAATGCTGATACGTTTTCTATCAGAAAAAAATCAAAGTTAAGACTAATAATTACCTATGAAGAATGCTGGCAAGGGAAATCTTGCATCATGTGAGAGACTGGGCTAGAGGACTTTTTCTTCCCTTTTGGAGAGACTACGTTCTGATAGATGTATCATTTGGATAATTCGCCTTTAGTTTGCGTAAATGGAAATGGGTATGCTTTAAATTTTTTCAAATAGTTTTGTCTAATTCTTATTAGTTAGAGACTAGTAAGCTGAGACCATTAATCTGAATCACAAATTTCTTTAATTATCATGATCAGTAACAATGACTCAAATGTTTTTGTAATGGGGCATTTCTGAGATCTAAAATTAAAGAAATGACTAAAGTCTTCTTAATCATGAATTTGTAAAATTAATGTTATAATAACAAAATTAAATTAATGCTCATTAGAATTCACCTCTTACCCTAAAAGATTTCTCTTAATAGCTTTTTAGAGGCACATAAGTTTTAAATTGTGCAACAGATATTCACAATGTGAAAAGACCAGCAACATTCAGGAATTTGGCAGAGATTCTAGGCTCTGCCAGGGTTCAGCAAAGAAGATGGCGGAGCTGTGCAGTGTGTATGGGAGTTGCTTGAATTAAAAACTTGTGGGAGGGGGCGCCTGGGTGGCTCAGTGGGTTAAGCCTCTGCCTTCAGCTCAGGTCATGGTCTCAGGGTCCTGGGATTGAGCGCCGCATCAGGCTCTCTGCTCAGCAGGGAGCCTGCTTCCTCCTCTCTCTCTCCCTGCCTCTCTGCCTACTTGTGATCTCTCTATCAAATAAAAAAATAAAATCTTTTTAAAAAAAAGTTAAAAAAAAACTCGTGGAAGGTTTCCTTCTTCTGGAAAATGATTTCAAATCAAATGCTTACTTACTTGTAGTTTTCTTGTTACCTTTACCACTCTGTTGGAATACTGCAGTCAAAAGTAATGATGGAAACAGCTTATACAAAGTGGTTGTTCTAGTCAAAAAGGGGTTTTTTAATAGAAATGTATAGCTGTAATAATTCTCATTTTGACTACTGGATCAGGTCTTGATAGTTATGAACCTTCAAGAATGGGAATTTGGACATTTTATTTCTGGAAATGAAGAAACTGCTTTGGCTCTCAGCCAAAGAGTCACTGTGAGTATGAATCTGGGCAGGACAGGACCTTGGGAGAATAGAGAAAGGATATAAATCACCTTCCCAAGCTGGAATTTCATTTTTTATTTTTTAAGTAGGCTCCACATCCAGTGTAGAACCCAATGTGGGGTGTGAGTTCATGACCCCAAGATCAAGACTTGAGCCAAAATCAAGAGTCAGATGCTTAACTGACTGAGCCACCCAAGCACCTCTGGAATTTCACTTTAAAAGTAGTGTTTCTCTGTGACTTTTTGCAGGCTAGTTTCATATACCCCAGCAAACACCAATCTATTTAAGGAGCACGGAATTATTATTATTATTTTTAACAATACTTATAATACTTTCAAGTAAGAAGAGTCACCATGTAAAGAAAACCACAAACTTTCCTCCTAGGAGGATGAGACAGTCAACTGCCTGGCATGCACTGAAACAGCCTGTTGGAAAATCGAGAGCTGGACTGGATGACCTCTTGAGGTTTCCTTCCACCCAGTGTGTCCATGAAGAATACAATGAAGAAGGTCTGTGTAACCAACTGGTAATTTTCAATAATGTGAAATAACTTGATTTATGAGATCTTGTCATAAAGGCACATGTTTTCAATAGCAAGAACGGTTATTTGAAGCTACCTGCCTTCTAAAAACTTTCTATGGAATGAGGACTTAAGCCAGTTTCACCATAACCAAATACTCAGTCTCTTACTTAAAAAAAAAAAAAAAGCCTATTTAAAAAAATCTTACTCTCTCGTTTCTCTAGAAGATTTTCAAAGTATGCTGCTGCAAAAGCTGGTATATTTTCTGGTTGCTCCCTCAGAATCTCGCGTGTCAGCCCTTCAAGAAGATTTCCAAATCCTTGTGGAATTCGGTAGTGGGTGTTGGAGAATGGAATCGACATCTCCTTGGAAGGAACTGCCTATTGTACCTAGAGATTCATTAGAGAGTACTGTCTTTAAATTTGTCTGATTTTACTTATATAATCACAATTATGACAACAAATTATTCCTGAGCTCCCAATTTTCTGGACTTCAGTTCTTTCCCCCCAACACAACTCCAATCCATCACTTCTTCAAGTTTTGAACTCTCCATCATTAATTAGAATATTACAAAAACAGACTCATTTACTAGGCCAAGTCATCTTTTTAAATTACAAAAATTACAGATTTTTCACAACGTTAAGTACTTTTTCTCTCTGTCCCTCTTGTCTTTAAAAGGTGAGGGTAATTTCTGCTATCCCACAGGAACTTAGAGAGAAGCATTGTTAAAAATTCATCATAAATCGCTGTTTGGGGTCTAAAATTTTTAAAAAATTGAATTAAGAACTAACCTTGGTTCTAGAAATTATTCTAATTCGTTGAATGAAGAAGTTTAACACTTAAGGTCTTGCCCTTTGTTTCCACTTCTGAAGCATGACCTAAAATGCCCCAAAGCACCTACATACTCTGAAAGGGGCAGCAGGGTCAGAGTGGGGCGGAGGCAAGATCACGATTTTGCAGTCGGAAGGTCCATGATTTTGGGATTCTTGTGTTTTCTGGTTTTGTCTTGACCAGGTCTTATCTTCCTGTCTTGGAATACAAGGACTGGATTAAGGACAGCTGCCAAGCAGCGGGTTGGGCTGCTGAGTATGCAAACGACACTCAGGGACCCGGCCTTTTCGTGAAGGTGCCCATTTTTTGGCAAGTCCGCAAGCCGTAGTAGGGGTCTAGGTGAGGGACTAGAAGGTTTGATGAGGCCCAAAGTGCGGAGGATGTTTTTCTGTTTTTGAGGGAACAGGAGATGAGGCACTGAATCATTGTCGGGTTGTGAGAAGGACAGGTAACCCCCTGAACCACTGTGGGGAGTGGAGGGCGACTGGAGGGGGGACACGGGTCTAGTCGGCGGCGGGACGTCGAGGATCTGGGATTTCAGACTCTCGCAGAACGGGCTGCCTTGGCGCCCAATCTGCCTTCGCGATCCCGGAATGTGTCTGGGATCTGAGAGAATGAGAGAGGCGAAGGGAAAAGGCGAGGTGTCGGATTTGGAGAGGAAGTGGGGTAAACCGCCTCACCTCTCCGTTCTCTCAGAGCTGGTGCCGATGGTTCCGGTTGTTATTTCTCGTTGCTGGGTAACCGTTTTTTTTTCTTTTTTTAATTCAACTACGGCGGCCGGGAAGGGGTGAGGCATGGCCGCAGCCGGCGGCCAGCGGCCGGCTTCGCGACAGAACAGCCCGGGAGGGGTGGAGTCAGGCCTCCCCGCCCCGCGCAGGCCCCCCCCCCGCTCCCCGCCCCCCCCCCCCCCCCATCTCCGCCCCTGAAGTCCGTGTCCAGAGTCCCGCACCCGGGTGGCGGATCTTCGCCAACATGGTAGCGCCGGGATTTGTGTTTGGGCTGGTGCTGCCTTTAATCCTGCCGGCCGACACGAGTGCAGGTGAGGCGGCCCGGCTCGGCCCGACCCCTGCCCGTCCGCCTGCGCGGGCTCCCGAGATGCAGCGTCCTCTGCAGGACCCGCGAACCGCGACCCTGGAGCCGGCCTCGGGACCCAGGCCTAGGCCGTAGTGTCTGCGGTCGGTCCGCTTCCTCCACACCCTTGCACGGTCCTGATGACCGGTGTGGCTCAGAGGCACATGTGGGCGTATCTTAAGGGGGAGGCCCAAAGGTCCCCGACCGAGGCCCTCGAGGTCTTTGAATAACCGCAGGGGAAGTCGAAGGGGGGTGGCGAAGCTCATTAGATAATATTTGGAAACAGGTGACTGAGTCATCCCCAACATTTCCCTGCTGCCCCCTCAGTAGTACCCTTGGGGAGGGTTTGCTTCAAGCCTGGTTCCTTAGGGGAATTATATTTGACTAGTTTAAGTGGTGATTAGGATTAGGAAATACAACCCCCTCACTAGCTAAGAATATTTAAGGCTTAGCCTTGATTTCTGGCGCAGGTTACGGATTTCGGTGGTGGGATAATAGGCACGGCATCGGGGAGGAGGGCGACTCACTTTGACTACTGTCCAGGGCGGATCCTGTCATTTGACTACTCCAGGCTGGACACCGAGCCACAACCGTGGAGAACCAGAGGGTGGACTCCGCCCGCTAATGTCAAGTACAGTGATAATGCTGGACCCGTTGTTTCCCTCAAACCATTCAAACAGTGGACCCCAGAGATCCCTGCTAAGATATGAAAGTTGAAGTGAGAATGGGGACAGGGTGCAGAGAAATGACTCTTGCTCCGCCTGCGAACCCAGAAGTAGCCAGACTGAGACCGCCCGCAGCCCATCAGTAGTGTCTGGGGCTTTAACAAAAGTGTAGACCAGCACTGCTCTGTATAGCACTTTCTGACTGTCGTTCCCACTCAGTGACCTTCGAGTCCAGCCTAGGAGAGGAGAGTAAGGCCATTTTCAAATTAGTTTTTCTTTTAAAGGCTGTTAACTTTAATGCCAATACGTTATTCTGTCTTCACCTTTGGGTCTTACGGTTCCATTACTTTGATTTACAATGACTGTATTTTTCATTAATGCTTTAAATTTTCTTTACTTCTTATTTGGTTGCATATCCTGGCATCTTTCTTTCCAGTCGTTCCCCCTGTGCCCATGTTGACTGTGTAAAATAGTTGAAATGTATAAAAATATATGAGCAATGAAACAAAAAAATTCAATACCCACGGGTGTTGCACCCAACTTAATAACTAGGTCATTGCATTTTATTGAGACTCCCTGGGTGTTCCTCTCCAATGCATCCATCAGAGGTAACCTAAACACTGTCCTAATTTTGTCAGTCTAATTTTAATGACTACTTTTAATGTCCCCAGAATGCTAATTCCTGTTGTCTACTCCAACACCCAAATGAAGGAAAAATTGAAGACCTAAAAAAAAAAAAAATTCAAATGCCAAGTGCCTTGTATTTGACAAAAGGAATGACCAGCCCCGCCTCCTTTCCTAGTCTCCTATTTTGTCCATTGCTCAATTCCTTGGTAATGTTCCACTGTCTACTCTTATCGGCTTGGAATGTGAGCTTTATAAGGGCAGGGAATAGGACTTTTTTTTTTTTTAAATTTACCACCAGTATCTAACTGCAGCAGAGTGGAAATTGCAGTAACTTTGGAATCCAAGGTGGCTTGGTTTCTAGGCCTGTCTTAAACCACCTGTGTGGTTTCAGATTGGTCAAAGGAGTTGATGATGTGCAGTGTACTTAGCACTGTGCCTGCCACAAGTAAGCTCCCCAGTAAAACGTAAGCTCCCTGCTTCTAGCGGGATTGTTGTCAGTTTTCTTTTTCTTTCTTTTTCTTCCTGTTATATTCGCAGTGCTTAAAGTGGTGCCTGGCACACAGTAGGCATCAATAAATATTTGTCAAATTAATTAATTAATACTCAAGCTATTAACTGCAATTACCTAAGCTACCTGGGTGTCAGTCTGGTGATCAGTACGTAACATGATTGTACGTTGGGGTGTGAAAGATCCTTTCTACCTCTAAAATTCTTTAACGCAGGATGACTGAGTGGCTCAGTCATTAAGTGTCTGCTTTTGGCTCCAGTCATGATCCCAGGGTCATGGGATCGAGTCCCACATCAGGCTCCCCGCCCTGCGGGAGGCCCGCTTTTCCCTCTCCCTCTCCGCTTGCTTGTGTTCCCTCTCTCGCTGTGTCTCCCTCTGTCAAATAAGTAAATAAAATCTTAAAAAAAAATAAATAAAATTCTTTAATGCAGAATAGAGCCAGGCACAAGGAGGTCCAGTAAATGCATGTTGGCGAAAACAGACAGTCTCAGAAAGATGTGTCCCCTGTCTGGAAGACAATGGCTGCACTCAGAGAGCCCATCAGTTTGCACAGGCTCATGTGGGAGCAGACAGCTGGTTTCCTTCATTCTGTTCCCCCCTCCCCTCACCCTCTCTCTGCTTAGCTCTTAGCCCTTTGGTTTCCAGTTTTTGTTCCATATGAAGTACCTACCCAAGACTAGGCCCTCCCACACATGTGCCTCTCCCCTTCCCTCCAGCTTGCTGCCAACCTGCTTATGCAATTGTGGGGTGGGAGAGTCTCTTCTCGGAGCATTTTGCTTGTGGTAGCTGTGCCTCTCCAGCCCATTATCCAGCCTTCTGGATGATCTTTGGTTGTCATATCAGTTGTATGATGGGACTAAAAGCTCATGAGAGAGAGGGAGAGCAGAGCATGGTTAGCGACTGGGCTGTTACTCAAAACACAGGACAAATAGGCCATCGGGTCTGTCTGGGATAGACCCCATTAACTGTGCTGTCCTGTTAAGAGTAGCCTAAGGGGCCATCCTTATTTGTAGCTTCCAGGGAGGAAAATGTCAACCTTGTTAGTTCTCATTCTCCTTCCTGCCTATCATTTTTGCTTAAAGCCCTTAAAAAAATCCATAACTTTGTTAATTATTTTCTTCTAGGGATTTTAGTCTGTTTTGCTCAGACAAATTGGGACATAACTTAAGTTTTTTTTTTTTTTCCCTTGTTAAGTTTTGATGAGGAACTCACTGAGATAATTTGGATAGATGCTTGTTATTAATAAAATACTTCAATATAGGCTGCATGTTAAAAATAGGAATGATCTCGTTAAAGTGAGTTCTTATTCAGTCTTGTTAGTGACTCTAGAATAGAATCTGCAGTTTCAAGTGCTCTCCCTCTTGTTCTTTTTATATAATTTAGCTTGTGAGATGGGTAAAATTGAGACAGAAGACCTTTGTTCTGACATTTTGACCTTCTATTTCTCACTGACCTTATTATTTCATCTTAATTTATCTGTACTTGCCTTAGAGGGAAGCAGACATTGTAGATATTCATAAATGCTTATTTAGAATTTTCAGTGGGTTGTCCAAAAAAAAAAAAAAAACCCCACAATACAGGGAATTCTTTGTGGGAAATCGACACTGGTAGGATGGAAAAGGGGAGATAAAGAGTGAGGGGAAAGATTAGGGAAGGCTGTGTTGGAGGGAGACAGGTTTCTTTATTCCCAGCAACAAGGAGTGGGCATGGTAATAGAAAGTAGGGGAAGGAAGTGGTTTATTTTTCTCATAAATACCATCTGTGGGGTGTATAAGAGGAGCATGTTAGCAATTTGGGGGGAGAAAGTGAACCAGCAGGGCCAAGCCCCAGGGCAAAGTCAGATCAGGAGCTCTGAGGGGGAGGAGGCTGGTGGCACATGGGTTGCCCTAGGCTCTTTGAGTTTTTCTTTTATTGGTCACCTTGTACTATGCTGTCTATTGTTGGCAACCGTTCTTGTTAGGTCGCTTACCTAATTGGGAGGAATAAGATCTGGGCTTAGAAGAATGAAAAGGGCTGGATATAGTCAAATTGTCCTGTATGAAGACTTTCTGTTCCTTGCTGTTTGAGCAGGTTCAATTGGTGATGACGCTTTTCTAAGGGTTTGTTACATTTTTTAGATGTCACCTTTCGCTTCGCCTCATACATCAATAACTACATGGTGCTGCAGAAGGAGCCTGCCGGGGCAGTGATTTGGGGCTATGGCACATCGGGAGCCACAGTGACAGTGACTCTGTGGCAAGGTCAGGAAACCATCATGAAGAAAGTCACAAGTGTGAAAGGTAAGGAGGCTGGTCCTCTGTTCAGCTTTTGTCCTCTTCTGCCACCTGCTGGATAATCTGGAAATGAATGCTTAGGCTCCAGCTCAGGTTATCGCAGCCATCCATTATCCACCATCCCTAAGAGCTCAAGTATTTACCATGTGTAGGGCCCTGGGGATACAAAGGAAATCAAGACAAAGTCAAAGCCCTGCCATCCATGGTCTCATGGAGTAATGGGAATAGACACCAAGTCATAAATTGCAGCGTGATGAATACTATGGTGAAGGTGTATATAGGGTGTCATGGGATTCAGAAGAGAAACGTCTGACTCAGACTGGATGGTAAGAGACGGTTCCTGCAGAAACTACCATTTGAACTGAATCATATATGAAGGAGAGGCGGCATGGAGGAGGGATGAAGAGCTTAGGCTCTGGATTCACTGTCTGGCTTCAGGTTCTGACTCTGCCACATTATCACCATATAACCTCAGGCATGTTATTTAATGTCTCTGCATCACAATTTCCTTATTTTTAAAGTGGGGATAATAATGATATTTAAGGGTGCCTTGGTGACTCAGTCAGTGAAGTGGCTGCCTTCGGCTCAGGTCATGATCCCAGGGTCCTGGGATCGAGTCCCATATCGGGATCCCTGCTCAGCAG